AGGTCTATCTGAACAACAACATTGAATACATGGGGTAGGCTTTGCTATAAAAAATGACCTTGTGAAGCTCCTGTCAGAAGTCCCTACCGGCATTAATGAGCGACTCTCAACCCTTCGAATAAAGCTCACAAGAAACCAACAGGCTACTACTTATTATAAGTGCTTATGCACCAACACTTGATGCCAATGAAGACATTAAAGAATTTTTTTTACTCTCAGCTGGATACCGTCCTATCAGAGACGCCTAAGGAAGATAAAATTATCCTCCCGGGTGATTTTAATGCAAGAGTTGGGCGAGATTTTGATCTGTGGCCTGGGACTATTGGGAAAGGAGTTGGCAAGAGCAACCAGAACGGAATCTTACTTTTGACGATATGTGCAGTGCACAACCTTGCTATTACCAACACACTCTTTCGACAGAAAAATAAATTTAAAACTTCATGGAGGCATCCTCAGTCAAACCACTGGCACCTCTTAGACTATGTTATTGTCTGTGCTAAAGATCGCCGTGATGTGCTCCTTACCAGAGCTATGGCAAGCGCCGACAACTGCTGGACAGATCAACGACTAATACAGTCCACGATGGCTATCAAGATTACACCTCAACGCAGGCTTCAAGGAAGGAAACCAAGGCACAAAATGAACACTCAAGCCCTTCAAGATCCCATTAAGCGGGATTGCTTCCAAATGACTCTTAAGGACAATTCTGAATTGCTTTCAGAATTCCCTGATAACATCAAGGAACACTGGACCAAGCTAAAAACATCCATTATTGCAGCTTGTGAACAAACTATTGGATATCAAACCAAGAAACACCAGGACTGGTTTGATGAGAATGACAGTGAGATCGAACGCATGATTGACAAGAAAAGGAAGGCCTTTCAGATCTGGCAAAGAGATAGAAACTGTGCCACTAAGAAAAAAACCTATGCCAATGCTAAGGCTGAGGTTCAAAGAAGAACCAGAGAACTAAAAAACACCTGGTGGATAAAAAAGCTCAAGAGATCCAGCACTTAGCCGACACTCATGATGCACAGAGTTTCTTTAAAGCCACAAAGACCATCTATGGGCCAATAAATCATGGCATATGCCCCCTATGCTCAGCAGATGGTATCACACTTCTAAAAGATAAAGAAGCTATTACACTGTGCTGGAAAGAACATTACCAACATCTCCTTAACCGCAACTGCCCCGTAGCTGCTGAGGTCCTCTCACAAATTCCACAAAAACAAGTTAGAGATGCGCTTGCAGTATCTCCAAATATGGGAGAGTTGCGTACAGCTATTAATCAAATGAAAAACAACAAAGCCAGTGGACCTGAAGAAGGCACAATGGTCTACTCTTCCCCAGACAAATCAGGCTGAATGCTCATTATGCAGGTCATCTGAAAGAACCCTAAATATATTTATTTTAGAATCTGCATGTAAATTCATATTTAAATGTGTATTTTGGTACTTTTTAAAAGTTGAGAACTGCATCACAAAATTCAGGGATGTATGAAATCTATAGGATAGCTGTGTTCTGATCAGTAAAAAATTCATTTCAGAAGCATCCTCAGTAGTTGTACCCCTTTGAACGCAAATTAAAAATGAACTTTCTCAGAGGGTCAATGATACAGCGCTACAAGCTGATGTGGTGCAGGATAAGGTTTCTTGTGTTTTTGCTTTGATAAAATCTGGTCCTAATTCAGCTTTATTCATGAATAACTTAGCCTGGTGCAATAATTCATGGGCAGACATATACATTCCTATCCACATCAAGAGACAGGACACTTCCATAGTTATCATTCATAATAGTAAAGTTGATGTTTGAATTTGTAGCTGACTGTCTGCACATTTGGCCACATGTTGCTGTTATTGGAGAGTGAGTGCAGGGTTTTCTTTTATTTTCTAAATTTTATTTTTCATTTTCTCATTTTACAAACTTACAACAATACAAATTTTCACATCCAATTTAAGATATCAAATATTAATATCTACCCCTCCCCCTTTCTGCAGTTGCTTGTTTCACATCTTTTATCACTGCATAACCAATTTAAATCTATTCATTATTTGTCCTTCATACTCAAATTAAATCATTTTATTGCTCGTTTTTATTTCAATCCTGCTAATGTTTTAAGCTGTTTGCAATAGTTATTCAAATAGTCCTTAAATCTTCCTCATTCCAAGTGTAAAAAAAAGGTCTCCCTTCTTGATTTCTTATTCTTCCAGTAAGTTTCCCCATTTCTGCATACTCCAACAAGTTTTTGCTGCCAATCTTCCTTGGCTGGGACTGCTTTTTTCCAGGGTTTCCGATTTCACATTTCTTTTCATTTCTCAGTTTGGGCACAATCCACGATTAACAGGATTTCCTTTTCCACATTAACGGTGGATTCTGCCTAAACTGAGAAATGTTCTGTGTAGTCACATCACGATTATGAGCTCTTGTATTCTTCCAGCCACTAAATGTCAGAGTTATGTACATGGCTTTTTTTGTTTGGTTTGGTATTCTAATCCCGTGGGAATATAGGAGATTAGAAGAGGAACTGCATGTCTGCCTGAACTATGACAAACCTGGTTATTGCGATGAAATTTTGTCTGCAGCTAATGATTGATAGTTATGGGCAATTGTATGCCTCAGTACTGTCGCCTCTGTCTGCCGTATCTCTCCTCTGAACTGAGCTCAGAAACCAACTGGTATGAACAAAGTAACATGATAAAGAGGTTCCTGAACCCCAAAACCCACCCCTCCACATAAACAGGGATGGTGCTTGCATACAAATGAAAATAATGAGGATCCATTGCGAATCTTTCACAAACATATGATTTTTTTGGTGGTAGAAGAAAAGGTGGTTGGGGGGTGTAAATCATTATTGAAAGCTAGCTGAATAGCAATGTTTTGTGGCACTGTGCAAAAAATAAAAACAAAAATCCCCCCAAAAGTTCAACTATATGTGGTGAGTGTAGAAAGACCCGCAGTGAGGCATTTCAATGAAACCCAGGCAAACAGCACAAGGGTGATGCAAATTGATGGGTGGTACCTGCAAATTTGAGAGTCCCATGGACTGCAAGAAGACCAAACCTATCCATTCTTAAGGAAATCAGCCCTGAGTGCTCACTGGAAGGACAGTTCCTGAAGCTGAGGCTCCAATACTTTGGCCACCTCATGAGAAGAGAAGACTCCCTGGAAAAGACCCTGATGCTGGGAAAGATGGAGGGCACAAGGAGAAGGGGATGACAGAGGAAGAGATGGTTGGATAGTGTTCTTGAAGCTATCAGCATGAGTTTGACCAAACTGCGGGAGGCAGTGGAAGACAGGAGTGCCTGGCGTGCTCTGGTCCAGGGGGTCACAAAGAGTCGGACACGACTAAACAACAACAACACCTGCAAATTTCTATAACCTGCATGGCCTGCCTGTTTTCAAACCTGCTTCCCACCGCAGAGATCTCTCTTGCTGGACATCTATGTCTGAGTCAGAATTCTTAAATGTAATGCTAATCTTGCAACCCTAGTGTGGGTACAGCGGAAAAGAGAGGTGATCGTTCCACGAGGCAACTTGCCCTAATGGAACAATCTCCTTAGTGCTACGTTGAATTCCTCACATTCTTTTAACGTTGAGTATTTGCATACCGCTTAAAGCTTTTAAAATATTAAGTTGCTTTGATGTGCTTTTAAATACACAAATGAATAAACTCAAGGGTGCATAAGCCCAAACTTTAATTACTTAGACCAAGTATCACCCAGTATATGTGTGTGCGTGCATTAGAAGCAGATGAGCTCCTAAGCAGGTTGCCAGCTTTTTAACCAGCCTTTGTACTTGTCCCTTTGACAGTGGTAGTTTGCCATTAGCAGGAGATCATGTTAAGTGAGGTGCCATGAAAAGCTTTCACTGCTGATTTCCTCAAACTAAGATTTCTGATACTTGTGCTCTTAAGCAGCTAATGCTAGCTGGCCGGCCCATTGAGGGTGGGGGCCACTGGTCTGATGTCAACGCTGTTTCATATGAACAATTGCCTGGAATCTAACATACAGTACCCATGCATGTGCGTGTGGCCACTGAATCTCCCTTAATGGTAACAAGCTGCAAACAGAGGTTGAGAACCTTCAAAAAGGAGGAAGAAAAGTAAGGGGGGGGGTTGAGTGTTAGAATTCCTGCGCCGTGATTGCAGTCATGGGATTGTTGTCTATCACATGACGGTGTATGTTTTGACTCCACAGAGTGGGAAGTGACGGAGACAGGATGTTTGTGTTACTATGTTCCATGAAGTGGGACTATTGTTCTTTGTCCTTTCTCTTTGCTGTCTGATGCTAGAGACAGAGGGAGCCATTTTGCACTGCTCCATGTGTGTTTATATATAAATAAATGTAGATTACCCAAAATGCTGAGTTTCTGAGTTCTGTTACGCAAACTACGAACACTCTGTGGATCCCTAAGTGTGCCGGTGTCTGTTGGCATTGGTCGCTGTGATGTTCAGGCAGAAGAAAGCTTTTGAAGCTCCTGAATGAACGACCAGGAGGGAGAGAACAGGCCAGTCGGGCATGTGTCTCTGCCAGGGTCCTACTCGAGTGTAGGATGAGCTCCTGATAGAGAGACTCTGTGGCTACCATCAGGAGATGATTGGTTTCACCTGCATTGTCCCATAGACCCTGGGAGGCTTCATGGGACTTGCTGAATGGCTATTTTGACTCTGACCTATTAGTAGTAAGCTGTGTGCTTTGTTAAATATTTATACAGTGGTACCTCGGGTTACATACATTTCAAGTTACATACGCTTCAGGTTCCAGACTCCGCTAACCCAGAAATATTACCTCAGGTTAAGAACTTTGCTTCAGGATGAGAACAGAAATCGTTGTCCGGCAGCGCAGTGACAGCAGGAGGCCCCATTAGCTAAAGTGGTGCTTCAGGTTAAGAACAGTTTCAGGTTAAGAACAGACCTCCAGAACGAATTAAGTACTTAACCCGAGGTACCACTGTATATGTTAAATGAATTGTTAAGAGACCATGAAAGGATCCATTTAGGATCCGGAGGGTGGAAATGGAGTGAGGAGTTAGCTGGCATAAGCTGCTTAAGAAAACAAGGACCAGAAATGAATTTCAAAGGGAGTAAACAGCTGAGCCATGTTCGTGTACTCAGCTTCCTTGGGAGAAAAGATAATGGAGATGGGCATACTTCCTTCCTTCCTTTTCCCCCCTTTTCTTTTTCAAGCAGCAGAAAAAGGTAGCAGAAGGATAACAGCTGGTGTCCAGCAGGTGGCTTGGATTGCAAGAGGCAGCTGGGAGTGGCAATTGCCACACACGCAGCACGACACGTTAATTACACTTGTTGTAATTCTGCCTGGCCCTTAATAACAAAAGAGGAAGTACTGATGCATGGAGTTGGCTTGAGTTTCTTACTTCTGGTGTCAACAGGCAGAAGAAAGTGTTTCTGTGTCTCCCAGAGTAGTTTCTCATGGGTGGTAGTTTCGAAGAGTCACATTGCACTTCTTTTTCTTGCCACTGAGAACATGTCTAAAGCTGAGAAACTTCCAGGTAGAGAAACAGTCTGCCTCTTAATACTAGACGATGGGAGCAAGGACTAGGGGAAGACCACTGACCTCAAGCCTTCATTGACTGTAACCAAGGGGTGTCTGGCTGGTAAGTTGACCACAAAACCCTAGGTCTGATGGCAACAATGCAATATTTAGGTTTGAAAAGGACAGGACATAATAGCAATTCTGGGTGCAGATAGTGAAGCTGTTACTCACTCCCTTTGTCACTAAGCTTTATTATCCCATTTTGGGACTGAGGGTGGTTTAGATTAAGGTTACCAGACGTCCCCGTTTCCTGGCGACAGTCAATGGATTTACAAATCAGTCCCCATACAAAATCCATTGAAGTTGAAAAGTGTCCCCGGATTCATTGAAAAAAATCTGGTAACCTTAGTTTAGATGGAACCAAGAATGCAAGCTTGTAGGAATGTCTGGATATATATCCAGCACCAATATGGGGATGGATGGGCATATGAGCAAGTTCAGTTATTTATTTTTTTACATTAATATCCTTTCTTTCCTGCAAGGAGCTCAAGTTGGCATACATGGTTCTCTTCCTATCCATTTTTATCTTCACAACAGCCCTGTGAGGAAGGATAGGCTGGCTGAGAGAATGTGACTGGCCCAAAGTCACCCCATGAGTTTCATGACTGAGTGGGAATTTGAACCCAGGTATTCTTGGTCCTAGTCCACCACTCTAACCACTGCACAACACTGCCTCTCACCAAATAAACTAAAGCTATTGTTTACAGAGAGTGAATGGCAAGCTGATACTCACAATTACTTAAGGCGCATATAATTTGGCAACACGTCCAACCTTGTTGGTAGTGAATGACCTCCAGTTTGCGACTGACCATGCTAGATTTGTACCTCCATTGTCAGATGCCCCATGCTTCTAAATATTCTGATTCAGCTGGGCTTTTCATAATTTGAAGATGCAACGTGTGAATCGGAAACCTCCCAGCCTTAAGTGTCAGGGTTCAATGGATTCACCGCTTGGGTGAACTACCCCTAAGTCATTTCCTTTTAATCCAGTCATCTACACACCCAGATCAGCTGCCTCCCTAGGACACTGGCTCCAGCAAATAATTCATTCTCCTGATCCTTATTTTTAAAATGCATCCCATAGTTGCCCCTAGTAACCTGGCTTTGAAACTCTTAACTCTCCATGCAAAAAGGATCCACCTTTCCAGAAAATATTGGAACATGTGCAAGCTTGATTCCTCCCTGCCATGCTCTCACACAGAGATAGACATAAACATGGACACAAATTCAGACACGTATTCCTCATTCTGTTTAACCTACAGTAATAAGTATCTTATTTTTAAGACAGGACAGATTTGTTCTAGCATAATGAGGGCTGTTTCAAGTGACCTGCACATGGAGGTCATAAGTAGGGATGGAGGAAAGTGTCAGAAGTGTCAGTTCTGCTTGGCTTTACCTATAATCCAATTCCATTCAGATTCTGCATTAATGGGCCATTAAAAAATTTAAAGCATGCATTTTAATCCATATTTGGACTCTCCTTCCTTGGAGGTTTTTAAGTAGAGGTTGGATGGCCATCTGTAATGGATGCTCTAGCTGAGATTCCTGCATTGCAGAAGAACTGAACAATGGTTACAGTCGGCCTATCTTCCCTCCTCCCTCTTCCCACTTGCCTACTTCATCTTCTGCTCCTGATTCTGCCCTGCTTTCTGCCACAGACTCTCCCAGCTCACTAAGCCCTGTTACCTCTTCAGCTTCCAACACCTCCTATCCCCAGACTTCTCCCTCTGACCCCCCATGGTTGTCCCACCACCACTCCCTGGGCTTTGAGCCTTCTTCCCTTGGTGGTTCCCAGCTGGTTCCTACCACCATTCCTCTGCATCCAACCAGTCCATGACAGTAACATTATTGGCCCTATCTCCATGAGCTGCCCTACCAGGTCTAGGGGCTACCAGCTTCCACTGTCCAGAAGAGAATCTGGCCCTTCGTCTGAAAAAGTTTCCTCACCCTTGAAATATAGAGAGATAGATGTTCTCTAGTCTCATGTACATTTCTGCCCTTGGGTTTAGTTTTCATGAGGCATCTTTGCCCAAATTGTGTTTTAAAAGAGATACTGAAACTGAACTAGGAAAGAAGTCCATAATTTGTTCAAGGTCATCTAATTACTGAGCAGATAACTGAGAGAAGATGCTTTGGAGGCTGCTGGCTTTCAGCCATGTATTAGTCCACTTGAGTGCCCAGCCTTCTCAGCATTATCTAAGCATCATATATTAGAAAAAAAAAGAGGCAGAGAGAGAGCCAATGTTAGCGGGGCCATCAAGGGAGTATGAGATATGGTTTCCAATGTGATTGGAGTTGCGGATGCTGATTAGCCTCCTATCGCTGTAGAAATCTGCCGGTGCTAAATTAGCTGGCTCCCAGAACCAATTCCAATCAGAATACAGGAGCAGCAAAAATGCACTTGCAAGACGTAGTGGCAATTCCTTGATAGCTGTCATGCCACAGAAGGGAACGACAATGGCAAACATATTGGGTTTGGATGTAAGAACGACTTGACTTTAGTTCCCTCTGTGGCCAGAGATTGAGATTAGAAAATGGGTGTATTAAAAGCAGTCTTCCTCAACAGGGTGCCCTTCAGAATTTAACAGGACTCCAGTTCCCATCATGATGGCCATATTGGCTGGTGCTGATGGAAGTTGGAGTTCAGCAACATCTGTAGGCCATCCGTTTGGAGAAAGCGGTCTCCCTTGGGAGGTGGTGGACTCTCCTTCCTTGGAGGTTTTTAAGCAGAGGTTGGATGGCCATCTGCCATGGATGCTTTAGCTGAGATCCCTGCACTGCAGGCGGTTGGACTAGATGACTCTCGGGGTCCCTTCCAACTCTACAATTCAATGATTCTGTGGTATTGGAAGATTGTAACAGCTGTTGTATGTTGTGGGTCAGGGGAACATGGATAATTTGGTTTAGGATCACAGAAATTCTGGCATGAGAATGAATGGAGGCACGTTTTAATGAGTCAATTGGAAGAATTAGGCTTAGGTTAAAGAGAAGTTCAGGCATTGGTTGAACATTGGTGGTGTATACCACACAGACAGAACATTTGTAAAGCAAAACGGGCATACTGAGCCAACATGGAAAGAACATGATAAATAGAAAAAACTTAGGAAGCTGATCATGCTGCCTACTACACCACCAAGAAATAGTATGTAGATGGAGAGTTTTGTATTGCTGTTTTTGGCCTTTTTGGAAAGCATGGTACTTTGAAATTAAGTTTGCTTGATCCCTGGACATTCTCTAGGCTGCCAGAATGGGCAAAGGCATTTGATGCTGCAAAGACTTGGGCCCTGTACACTCTATACATTTAAAGCAGTTTCATGCCACCTTAAACAGTCATGGCTTCTCCCAAAGGATCTTGGGCACAGTACTTTGTTAAGGGTGCTGAGAGTTGTTGGGAAACCCCTATCCCCACACCCTGAGCTACATTTCCCAGTTTCCTGGGAAGAGAAATTGATTGTAAGACCACACTGGACATTGTAGCTCTGTGAGAATGAAAAGGAGAGGACTTTGGTAATATACCACCCTGTGTGAGGCCACAGCCCTTGTGGTGCCAGCTTAAGCCAGGCTTTGGAAGGAGGCATGAGGCTCTGGCAGGGTCCTAGAGCCCTCCTACCTCCTTCCTAAAGCCCAGTAAACAATTGCCCAGCTTTGGGAAAGAGAAGGAGGAACTCCAGGTCCCTGTGAAAGCCCTCATGGCTCCTTCCTGAAGCCAGACAAGTGCTTACTAGGCTTTGAGAAGGTGCCCTTCTTGGATGTGCACCCAATGTGACTGTACCACTCACACTGCCCTAAATCCACCTCTGAGGATGAGTTACTTTGGGCCCTGCACTGGGAGAAAGGTGAGATATAAAATAAACAAATAAACCCTGGAGAACCAGTGTAGACAATACTGAGATAGACAGAGCAATGGTCTAACTCAGTATAAGGCAGCTTCCGAGGTTCCAGGCCCTCATTGAAATCCAATTGTTTACCTCTAAGCCTCCCAACATCTGTAGCTTTTGGGGGAAAACAGTAGCTAAAAGGGGTCCATGGAAAAGGAGGTCAACCCTGTAGGCTTTGATTCTAACACAGACTGAAGGCGAAATGATCGAAAAATGCCCCACTGATTCAGAAAATGGTGGGTTATTTAACTGGGCCCCTCTTCCTCTCTGTGACATCCCATAAATAATATTTGTGTGCACAACAGCTGTGATGGCATCCACTTCCATGGGCCACAAAATGTTGGCAGTCTCTGCTTGGCATGGGTCAGAGTTGATTGCTTCCCACCCGCTTTTGGATACACAATAAAGTCTGCAGCAGCCGATGGCAGGCAAAAACTAGGCATATTATTTGTTCTGGCTGGAAGATGACTAACAATGTTGTTGTTTCTTAAAGACCCTTGGCAGGATGATCAGTGGCTCATAGATTTTGTTTTCCCCATCTCACCGGGTGACAGAGCTGCTGCAGTCAATAGCAGTCGTGTCAGGCATGACAGCTTAAAGATAAACCTCCTTGTCAAGTTGCACAGAATTTCTAAAGAAATAATTTCCTTTTCCCTTTCGGAAACAACCTTGCATTTTTCAATCGTGGACCTTCCCCTAGACCTAAGCGGGCTATTCTCTGCAGAGTTCATAGCCATTAAATGCAAATGATTCACACAGGCCAAACATGGATCTTGGATGTGGTTGGGCTTTGCAAACTGCATTTTCAGAGGCAATGTGAAAACCAGTTGGCTGCACCTGCTTGAAGAAACTAGAGCTGGCTCAACAAGTGAAAGTTGGGGTTGGAACTGATGAAGATGGTGCCACTCCATCCGTTGTTAGAACAGTAAGTTCTGAAAGGGAGATTGTTGTTGTTGTTTAGTCGTTTAGTCGTGTCCGACTCTTCGTGACCCCATTAGGGACTTCCAAATTCTTCTTCAGCTCAAATTTAAAATGTGAGCCAGAGAAGAAAATCTGAACCAGAGAATAATTCTTAGTTTATCAACCTGGCCCTCAATCCCCCCCCCACACCCCAACTTTCTTTCCCTCTCCCTTTAAACAAGATATTTTTACTGGGGCAATAACACCAGTGCCCTAGCAGCAGGAAGAGGGAAGCAGAAAGATATCATCTTCCCCTTCTCTCTCCAGTATGCTGATAATGTCTTAGGATAGGGTACTTGTGGGTCTCTGGAAAAGTTTCCCCCAGAACTACTGCAGTGACTGGGGCGTGGTGGGTGACTTCTGACATTGTGCTGGCTTCGGAACATAAGCCAAGCAGTTTCCATGCCCAGATTATTTCCAGCTGCAGGTCCTGAGTGCAGGGCTTTCGTTTTAACTTTGTTGTAATTAGAATGATTTAATTGTAGAATTATTAAGATGCTGCATGCCATACTTCCTGAATAAATAGTCAAGGGTAAATAGTCTTTCTCTAATTAACCAGATGCACCCATCCTACACTATGAGATATGGCTGGCGCTAACCCTAATGAAGTTTTGGTGCTGGCAAAAAGACCGATTTATTGGAGCAGGCCTTAACAGAATGCTGCTGTTTGGACTAGGTTGTGGTATTGCTCTTGCTCGTATTGCTTTGCCTCCCTTTATCTGCTCCTAGTTTTTTTATTTGCTTTTTGTTATTGTGGTTTTAATTCTATTTCATTTGCACCCTAAATCTGGGATTGTTCTCCCTATGAGGGGCGGTCTGGAAAATATTTTAAAATAAATAAAAACTCTCTTGCACCATCAGCCTTACCTAAGGACCAAAGAAATGGGCAAGGATAGTAAATTACTTTCTCTACTCACAAATTACTGTTTGAACATCACCAGAGAAATAAAAAAGAACCATACAATGTGGATTACTGCAGTGATGCAGCTATAAATGAAAAGCTGTTTGCTGAACTAATGTTTGGGGAGATTACTGTAATGACACTTCTGAGGGACATAAATTTGAGGGAATTATTGAGTAGTACTCATTTTTTTTCCTTTTTCCTTTTTAACAAGGTGTGTGGCTCTCGAAAGTTGGATAGTCCATCCATCCTGCCAGCTGCTTCCTTAGGGGATATAAACGAACAGTCAATCTTTTGAGAGCAAGGTGGAAACTGAAGGCAGGAATATGCCATCAGAGCAAGCTTTGCTGTGAAATGGCACATTTGGGACTTCAAATTGGTATCATCAATCCCATCATTGTCCTGAGGGCCTTTCCTGTGTGATCATCAAAGTGACAAGTATACAGTTCTATGGCTGCTTGCCACACGTCCCAGGATTCAAGAGTCCCTATGGAGAAAAGGCTCTCCTAAACCAGCACATCCCTCCTCCTTTGATGAAAGCAGCCAATACAGAGGCTTCTTTCAGACAGCACTCAATACCCACCCAGATACTTCAGCTTTGAGGAGCCCCAGCCTGCTAACATCTTATGCTAAGATTTAGGAGAGGCAGTGCTTCTACCCAGGTTAGGAGTCTTTAGTATAGTGGTGGGCAATATCTGGCCTCCCCACCCACCTAATTAAGCTCAGAAACATGACTCTTTCACACTATTAGTGAACAAAACATACAGAAAGCCTCTACGTTAGGGAGAACTGGCTTGCAAAAATGAGTATATTAGGCCAAATGGCATGAATTAGGATAAATTCACACAAAATTGTTGATGAATTTTCACAAGGCCTTTTTTATTTTAAACCTATGGGAAAATGTGGAGAAAGGAACATAAACCTGGAAAACATAAACCAAAATTGACAGAATCTCCTTAGACTTGGTCCTATTTAAAATCTTACATATGCCTTCAGCCCTACTCCTTTGCATGATTAAGTCCACTCTCTCCCCTCTCTTTTCTCTTCCTTACCTGACCAGTCCCTCCAAGGCCCTATAAATTTCAGTCTCTCATGGAGATGAGAAATGCATTAGCTCATGACTCTAAAACTCACCAATGGCTCAGTATCATAAACCAAAAATCACCCATTTCCCTGTGCAACTTCAGGGCATTTTGGCCTACAGAGAAATAAGGAAATTCATGCTAGGTTATTCAAGACCACAAATCCAGGGCTGTGTCTAAAATACTTGGGTCTACTGTAGATAAAACTGAGCCTGTCAGATTATTTCCAGAAACAGACCATCTACTAGGCCTTGGTGAAGACTTCATTCCCTGATCAAAATCCAATGCCCTCATCCATCTGAAATGTTGCAGGCTATTTACTTAGGGCACCGCTACAGTATGTAACATTTTCCTACAAATTGCCACTCTCCAAAAAAAACTGTGTGTATTGGGGGAGGGAGATAAAATCACTTTGCCAGACCTTCCAATTGTCCCTATTTTCCAGGGACAATCCCAGATTTACAGAAGCCGTCCCAGTTTCTGATTTGATCCCAGAATGTTCTGCTTTGCCTTAGGAGTCCCTGTTTTCATTGGAGAAATGTTGAAGGGTATGGAGTTATGCGACTCCCTGAGCCAAGGAGATAAGTAACCATACAACCTTTAGAAGACATCTGAAGGGAAAGGTTTTTTTTGGGGGGGGAATGTTTTATTGTGTTTTTATATATGTTGGAAGTTCCCAGAGTGGCTGCAGCAACCCAGTCAGATAGCTGGGGTATAAATAAAATAAAATAATAATAATAATAATAATAATAATAATAATAATAATTAGGATGTTCCTAGTTTCATTGGAGAAATGTTGGAGGATATGCTTTGCACCCAAAATATTAGGCTCCCATTGGGGGAGAAAAACTTTGCACCTCTTTGTCTGAAATTTGACCAGCTTCATCCATTGAGATGGGGCAGCTATGCCTGCAAATTTAATCTAATTCTGCCAAGAAATAAAAAAAGTTATAGGCGTCTTAAAAAAAAACCCCTCAAATGTTGAAGACATCACCTCACACAGAAACCTCATCTGTCTGAAATTTGACAGGCTTGGTCCACTCAGCAACGGCTACTATGCTGGCTCATTTCTTCCAGTTCTGTCAAAAAGTGAAAGCTGATTATTTTCCCATGTCAGTCAATGGGAAGACACAGAAAGCCTCAAATCTCTGAAGCAAGACCTGATGGGAGGCTCCCCCCCCCCAAATAGCCTTCTATGAGGCTTCCTCCTCCTCTGTGTGCAGCTGCAAACCTCTTACCAGGCTAGTAAAAATGTCTTCACACGAGTTTTCTTTGTGAACTTATTTACAAGGCTGCTTTTTCAATCATGTGGTTGTTACATATACTGTAAAGGTAAAGGGACCCCTGACCATTAGGTCCAGTCATGAACGACTCTGGGGTTGCGGCGCTCATCTCACTTTATTGGCTGAGGGACCCGGCATACAGCTTCCGGGTCATGTGGCCAACTAAGCTGCTTCTGGTGAACCAGAGCAGCGCACAGAAACACCGTTTACCTTCCCACCGGAGCGATACCTATTTATCTACTTGCACTTTGACGTGCTTTCAAACTGCTAGGTTGGCAGGAGCAGGGACCTAGCAACGGGAGCTCACCCCATTGCAGGGATTTGAACCGCCAACCTTCTGATCGGCAAGCCCTAGGCTCTGTGGTTTAGACCACCGCGCCACCCGCATCCCTACATATACTGTACTATCCAGTATAATGTTCGTACTGTAAGCCACCCTGTGATCTTCAGATGTATATAAATTTAATAAATAATTATTATTCTTGCGAGATTTAAGAAGACTGCAAAGCTAGTGGTAAGCTGAGATTGTGAGGAATATTTTGCTCAGCCACGTAATATGCCTGCTGTCTTTAATTAGTATATGATTGCCCAGTGTTAAATATGAACTGTTCAGTCCATTTGCATGCCAGTCTAAAACAGCACCATGATTATTTTCTAGCAAGAGGCTTTCCTTGTCCTGTGGCTAGCATGGAAACCAAGTGGGAGCCACAGGGAGAATGGAGTAACCGGTCCCTGGTCTGCCATGCTGCCCACTTCCTGCGTGGAGTTATGTGAACTCACCTCTGAGGAATTCCTAGTTGCCTGTGGCGACCAAGCAAGTTTAAAAACAAGGTTGAACAATAAGCATCCTGAGACTACAGGTGGGTTAGCGGGGAGAAAAATGAATAGCAGCCATTCCCTGCATCACAGGGATATGGGTTGTATCCAAAGCAAGTCATAATCACAGTAGACCCATTGAAATCAATTGACTTGGCTTAAGTCCATTGATTTTGAAGGGTCTACTCTGTGTATCAGGTTCTCCTTTAAATGTGATCTGAAATGAATTTATCTCTCTCCCTTCCCTTGTGCAGTCATCACATAACCCCAAGCAGGGTGCAAAGAAGATGCAAATAATAAAAACTGGTCATTTTGCTAGAGGGGGAGATAGGCTGAAGATGAACTGGAGGCAGGTGGAGTCAAATTCCTGCCCCATCTCTAGTCTCCAGCATCCTAAACCTTGAGACTCAAAGAGGAAGATCTTGATAGTTTTATAAGGTAGGACCTAGTGAGGTCACAGGGTTGCCAACTCTTGAAAGTTAAGGAAAACAGTGGTATGTGGCTATCGGCTGAGCCTGGGATGTGGTCCATTGGTACTGGTGAGCATTTAAGGTCCCCAACCTTGGGTTGCCATCTGATTAGATTTTACTCTGATTCTGATTTGATTCTAGGATGTATTTCAATTGATTGCTTAATTTTATCTTGATGTGTTATATAATTGATGTTAGCCGCTCTGAGCCCTGTTTTGGCCGGGGAGGGCGGGGTATAAATAAAATTATTATTATTATTATTATTAT